TGTTCAAATAGTGCTCCCTGGCCCAATCTGCTCAGAACCTCGTAGGTGCTACACGTGTCCTCGGCTCCCAGAGCTGGTGGCTTTCAGTCAGTACAGGAGGTGCCAGATTTGGGAATCAGAGTAAAGAAACAAAGACATCTGACAAGTTGGGTTTGACCCCCTTGGGAAATCAAGGCATTTTCAGGACCGGGGGTTATGACAGTCCAGTTCTCAAGTGACTTTGAGGATTTTCCAGTGTTCCATTCTTTCCCTGGAGCCTGTCCACTCGTTGTGGGCAGCCCAGAACTCTCGCCTATTCATGGAGGTGTCCTAAAGCCATTCTTGAGGCTTTTCAGTAAAATCACCAGCCCAAAGAAACCAGCTTTTTTCAGCTGCCAAGGCTTGGAAAGCCCCTCACTTTCTGATATTCCCAAAGACCTCATGTTTGCCTTGGTGTTTCCATAGCAGGAGAGAACAGAGATGTGGTATTTGGTGCTCACCAAGGCACTCTGTGCAAAGGATTCCCAGGATGATTGACTGTAAGACCGAGAACATTCCCTGACATTTGAGTTCAAACATTGTCCACCCCACAGCAAAAACCTTACACTCTTGCCAGGTTCAGCTTTGCCAGTGTTACAGACACCAAGAGCGACAGTGAAGGTGGAACTGCTGCTTTGATTTTCAAGAGCCGGGTGATTTAGACACGATCAGATCACACTGCTCAGGTGTCCGGGTGTTGTAATGGCCCCAAAGTTCTTATTTTTGTCTACCAAAATCTCGAAGTCAGCACGTTAAATCATCGGAGCTTCTGTCGTGCCCACATCTACATTTCCATTGCAGTTTGTGTAAAATGTGCTTGTGCGTTTGCATTCAAGCACTTCTTGAGGGCAATGACATGCCAAGCTGGTTGGAGTAGCTTGCTCAGCACTCGAGGACAGAGATGGGGACTAAAAAAAGAATTCCCATCCGTTGTCACAATTCACTGCAAGAGAGAGGGGCCTGAAGGTGCTGGGACTGCTCGTTTATTTTTAGCAGCAGAAGTTTGCTGTTGGTGAGCACTCTGCAGCCTGCGTGGTGCCGTGCCCAGAAGGGGAGGGGTGGGGGGAACTGCTCCACGTAGGAATGCGGTGGGGAGATCCCTCAGCCCTGACAGCCCCCGGCTCAGGACACGGGCTCACTGCCTGGGCTCCAAACCAAAGCTGGTGTTGCTGGGGGTGAGGAGTCAGCCCAGGCTCGTGAGAGCATTGAGAGGAGCAGTCGTTTCCTGCGGTTCATGCACTCTTCTAACACCTCTTCTTTCTCCTCTTTTCCTTCCACAGTGGTAATGTTATTATAGAAACCAAATTCTATGATGACGACCTTCTCGTAAGCACTTCCAGAGTGAGACTTTTCTACGTTTGAGATGGGGCTTTTTGGAGCTGTTTTAGTTTTCCTCCATACAGTTCTTGGTGCAGAACCCCCCGACTATCCAGTGGAAGACACTCCCGTAGGCGGTGACCCTGGGGACCAGCTCAACGTGGGTTGTGACCTTTGCCCATCAGTTATTTTGCTTTCTCCTCTGCCAAGACCAGACCCTCAGAGACAGGACCATCTGCTCAGCGATGCACTGGGGAATAGAGGCTGTCTCTGAACGCGGGCAAACGATGGTCATGCAGAACCAATACTGTAAATTACGTTAGTCTCATCCTTTGTACTTCTCTGGATCCTGGTATCTTCTCCCATTTCCACTCACACCAAACTCTCAATGCGTTTCATTTTTGGGGGATTAAGTTAACCTTTTCATTTTCATCATGCTGTAGGTTTTTATCCTTTCACTGGATTTCTGTGTAACTGGTCCACACATCCTCTTACCCTGAACTTGTAAAATAGACTGTGATATCACCCAATGTAATTAAAACAAATTTCTCAATAAAAACATTCCTACCGTCCAAAGAAGGGAAAAACAATGTTAGTTCTGTGCGTTTTCCTTTCTGTTATAAAAATGCCTCACAGCAGGCACAAGCTCCCGTCACTCAAGCCTGCAGCAGAACAGGGCTTTCCACAGCCCCATTTCTTCCACAGCCCCCATATCCTTGTTAAATTTCTCTCCCTCCAGCTGACCACGCAGGAAACGTTTCCTGACTGCTCCGGCCAAGGTTTCTCCTTGGCCTCATTTCTGTCCGTGAATCCCTCGGGGTGGTTTGTCCCGTTTGCCCCGTCACTGGTTTCTCGAGCAGCGCTGCACGCTGTGCTGATTTTCTGAGTTCCTGGGGCCGCTCAAACCCCTCGGGAAAAACCTGCGTTCCCCTGAGCCCACCAGCACCAGTCCTGTGCTGGGCTGAGCGCCCCGAAGCACAGCTGTGGCTGCGGGGGCCGCTGCCAGCAATCCCCAGAGGTGGGCAGCTTTAACGACACGCGGCGGGAGTTTTCGCTAGGACAGGCTCTCAAGCCCTACCCCTTCCCCTTGTCCTTTAGCTCTAGCACCTGTAAATCCTGGGGAGGGGGTGTCGCCAGCTTCATAATTTAAACATCACGGGCAGCTTTATGATCGCTCAACACCTTGGTCAGCCTGTCCTGCGGCTGGGCTTGAGGTTCTCAGGAGAGTCACGGGGCAATGAAATGCATCATTTCAGCTCCTGAATTCAGCCCCTGGGTGTATGTGGGAGGGATACAACATGATTTGGTTTTAGGTGAGTTGAAGTTGGGCCGTTAATCCCCACGAGAAGAGCATTAGCTGTTGTAGCAGCTTTCTCGTGAGACCTCGCGGGTGGATTCCAGCCTGCTGGACTCGCAGGGCAGAGTCTTCTCGGCCTGTCCTAGGCCAGCCTTTATACAACGGGATCAGCCGAAACTGCCTTCCGCACCCAGCGTGAACGACCCCAGCAGCGGTGACCTCCGTCCGAGGGGAGAGGCAAAAGGTACCCACAAAGGAAAAATACGAAAGGTTGAGGGTTTTGAGAGCCGGTACCTCCACGTTCTGGGGCAGACGCTCTGCTAGACGCACGCAGGAGGTGTCGAGCACGGGCAGGGAGAAGGCGTCTGCTTTTGCCTCCGGAGCCCCTTTGCTCCCTGCCCAGTCCGCCCAGTTCACCCAGTTGGAGCTGGCCAGCCCCGCGGCGGCGGCTCTGCGGCGGGTCATTGCCGCCCTCAAGTGGCTCCGTGGGAAATAGCTGGCAGCTCACCCGCTCCTATCCCAGCCCCCCTCCAGCCTCTCCCAGTCCACCCCAGCATCCCCCAGTGCGGAGCTCAGCCTCCCTTAGAGAACCGAGGGAGCAAGAGCCGGGGGAAATCAGGGGGCCGGATCCAGCTGGAGGAAAGGGCCCAGTAGGGCAGGGGGGGAACAGAGTGTCCTGACCAGATGCCACCCAAAATCCGTGCAAATGGCCCCTGGCTGCTCCAAGCTTGGCCCAGGCAGCTGCGTGTCCCCTCCCCGTGGGGCTGACGGGGATTTGGGAGCCCTGGGAGAAGGGGCAGGAGGCACTGCCGACGTGCTGCCCTCGGCGTGCCCCGTCCCCAGCGTGGCGTGGGGACCTCTGGGCTCCCTGGCACAGGGCCGTTGGCGCTGGGGCAGCAAAGGCACCAGCAAAGGGAAAAGTGGGGCTGGAAAGGGTGAGAGCGGAGCAGGAGGTGGGGGTGTGCACGTCACCACCGCCACCACCCGTCCCTGTGCCCATGGGCAGCCCCGTGCCACCCTCCGCTCAAAGGCCGGGGCAGGGTAGGGGGGAGAAGTTGGAGCTGGGAACAACACAGCGATTCCTCCTTTTATTTACCAAAAAAGATCCCACCTGGCAACTCACCGCCTTGGCAGGCACCTCTGCGGCAGGGAAACTCCCTGCAGCCTGGTCCACGCGCCAGGCTCTGCACGAGGAGAGGGGTCCATGGTGGCGAAAGGGGCAATTTTGGGGCGGGGCGGTAGAACCTGGCTGGGGCCGACAAGGAG